GTTGGGCTCAGGGGGTCTCGAAGCCCATGAAGCTCCTGGCTGGATTTTGGGGTGAAACAGGAGGTTTTGGTGATTTTGCTGCTGTTGGGCTCAGGGGCTCTCGAAGCCCACGCGGAAGCCGGGCTGGGCCGGCACCACGGCGCCGTTCTGGCCTGGGCCGTACCCGGGGCCCAGCCACGGCTGGCTCTGCCTGCAGGGAGAGAAAATCCATCAGAAATCCCAAAACAGCCCCGGGGTTTGTGGGGGGAAAGGGTTTGTGAGGGTTTGGGGGGGTCAGAGAACAAGAATTGCTTCTAAAATGGGAGAAAAACTGGGGTGAAAATGGATCTGGAGGCAGCCAAAACCCATTTGCGATAAGTGTAAAAGTTGCTTCCCAAAAGGGATAAAAATTGGGATAAAACCACTCAGGACTCACTCAAAGATCTCTTGGGATGTCCCTACCCCGCTGTGGATCCGAGGTGCAAAAATTCCTTCCCAAAAGGGATAAAAACGGCTCTGGAGTCACCCAAAATCCTGCTGGGATGTCCCCACCCCTGTTGGGATGTCCCCACCCCGCTGTGGATCTCTGGTGCACAAATCCCTTCCCAAAGGGGATAAAAAATGGGATAAAAATGGCTCCAGAGTCACCCAAAATCCTGTTGGGATGTTCCCCACCCCTGCTGGGATGTCCCCACCCCTGCTGAGATGTCCCCACCCCTGCTGAGATGTCCCCACCCCTGCTGGGATGTCCCCACCCCGCTGTGGATCCCAGGTGCACAATCCCTCCCCAGAGGGATGAAATTCGGGACAGGAGCGCTCAGGACTCACCCGAAGCCCTGCTGGCCCCAGGCCTGGCCGTAGACGCCGTAGGCGGGCACCTGCCAGCCGTTGGGCACGAACTGGCCCAGCTGGGCACCGCCGTACCACTGAGCCCACTGCCCGTAGGCCGGCGGGTAGCTCAGCTGGCCCTGCGACACACGGGCAGGAGTCAGGGAACAGGGAATCCAGCCGTGGATCCATCCATGGAGCCATCACCCATCATCCATCCATGGAGCCATCATCCATCCATGGAGCCATCATCCATCCATGGAGCCATCACCCATCTATGGAGCCATCACCCATCATCCATCTGTGGATCCATCCATGGAGCCATCATCCATCCATAGATCCATCCATGGAGCCATCATCCATCCATAGATCCATCCATGGAGCCATCATCCATCCATGGAGCCACCATCCATCTACGGATCCATCACCCATCATCCATCCATGGATCCATCCATGGAGCCATCATCCATCCATAGATCCATCCATGGAGCCATCATCCATCCATGGAGCCATCACCCATCATCCATCCGTATATCCATCCATGGATCCATTACCCATCATCCATCCATGGATCTATCCATGGAGCCATCATCCATTGATCCAGGGATCCATCCACCTATCCATCATCCTTCCATCATCCATCCATGGATCCATTCATGGAGCCATCATCCATTGATGGATCCATCCATCATCCATCTATGGATCCATCATCCATCCATGGAGCCATCACCCATCATCCATCTGTGGATCCATCCATGGATCCATCACCCATCATCCATCCATGGATCTATCCATGGAGCCATCATCCATTGATCCAGGGATCCATCCACCCATCCATCATCCTTCCATCATCCATCCATCCATGGACCATCCATTCATCCATCATCCATTGAGGGATGCATCATCCATAATCCATCATCCATCCATCCATGGACCCATCCATCCATCATCCACTCACCATCCATTCATCCATGGACCATCTATTCATCCATCATCCATTGAGGGATCCATCATCCATAATCCATCATCCATCACCCATCCCTCCCTCACTCGCACTCCCTAATTAACGAGCTGGTTAATTAACGGCTCCGCGGGCTCCGCAGGGACCCTGACCTGCGGCACGGGCCCGGCCGTGTCGGCCGTCTCCTTGCCCCAGTAGCACTTGACCACGTGGCCCTCGATGGTGGTGCCGTTGACGGAGACGATGGCGTGGGCGGCGCTCTCATGGGAGCTGAACCTGCCGGGGGAAATATTGATTGGGTTATTGATTGGGATATTGATTGGGATACTAATTGGGAATATTTATTGGGATACTGATTGGGAATATTTATTGCAATATTAACTGGGAATATTTATTGGGATACTGATTGGGAATAGTGATTGGGATATTAATTTGGAATATTTATTGGGGTATTCATTGGGAATGTTTACTGGGAATATTTATTGGGATACTGATTGGGAATATTTACTGGGATATTGATTTGAAATATTTATTGGGATACTGATTGTGAATATTGATTGGGATATTGATTGGGAATATTCATTGGGAACACTTATTGGGGATATTTATCAGGATATTTTTCACCAATTTCCTTATTAAATGAGAAAGATCAGTCAATTTATTCTTTTTTTCTACAACTTTAAAAATTTTTCTTGATTTTTAAATAGATTATTTTTTACTAAATGGGAGAGGTGGAAGTCAACATTCATTGGAAAGAAATGAAGGGATCTTGCCATTAATCAGGGAAGGAAATAAATGGATCTTCCCACATGACAAAGATCCCCATTCCCAGTGATTTTTAGTAATTTTTCTCCACTTCTTATGGCCATAACCCTCCTCAGAGCAGAATCCCTCTGATTTGGGATGGTTTGGTGAATTCTTTGGGGTGATGGAAGACAAAGGATCCTGTTCCAAGGGGTTTTGGGATTTTCCCACTTTTTATGGCCATAATCCCTTCTCAGAGCAGAAACCCTCTAACCCTGCGCACAGTGACTCCTGTGCTGACTGAAGTCCTGAATGACAAAGGACCCTATTCCAAGTAATTAATGGGATTTTCCCCATATTTTATGGTCTCCTCAGAGCAGAGGGAGCAGAAACCCTCTAACCTCTCTAACCTGGGAGGGTTCAGTGACTCCTCTGTGCTGACTGGAATCCTGACAAAGGGCCCTGTTTCAAGGGTTTTTTGGGATTTTTCCCCCACTTTTTATGGTCTCCTCAGAGCAGAAACCCTCTAACCTGGGAGGGTTCAGTGATGCTGTGCTGATGGAGCTCCCACATGACAAAGATCCCTGTCCCAAGTGGTTTTTGAGATTTTCCCCACTTTTTATGGCCATAATCCCTTCTCAGAACAGAGGAAGGAAAAACCCTGTAAGCTGGAAGTGTTCAGTGACTGATGACAAAGATCCCTGTCCCAAGTGCTTTTTAAGATTTTCCCCACTTTTTATGGTCTCCTCAGAGCAGAGGGAGCAGAAACCCTCTAACCCTGGAGGGTTCAGTGACTCTGTGCTGATGGAGCTCCCACGTGACAAAGATCCCTGTCCCAAGTGCTTTTTTGGGATTTTCCCCACCTGTTCCAGAGCAGAGGAAGGAAAGCCCCTCTCCCCTGGGTCACCCCCCCATGCTCCCACCTGACGAAGGAGTAGCCTTTGTCCGGGAACACTCGGATCTCCATGATCTGCCCGAAGGGGGAGAAGGTCTGGCGCATCAGCTGCTCTGGAGCAGGAAGGACAGACAGACAGACAGACAGCAGCGTCAGGCACCCGTGGGGACAGGGGGACAGCTGCCAGGGGCTGGGCCCACACGTACCTGTGAGGCCCGAGGTGACCCCCCCGCAGTACACGGTGCAGTTGCTGGGGCTGGACTGAGTGACCACCTCGTCGTAGGACAATTGTTTGGTGTTTGCTGCAAGAGATTGGAGTCTGGGATGTTGCATTTGGTTTTCAAAGGGTGGGATGGGAATTTTGGGGGGAGAATTTTAGTCCCGACTGGTAAAGGATTGTTGGGAACGACCTGCAAATATTTACAGGGATATCTCAGAGCACCTGGGCCTAAAGGGATCCAGGAGAGCTGGAGAGGGACTGGGGACAAGGGGTGGAGGGACAGGACACAGGGAATGGCTTCCAACTGGGAGACTGGGGTGGGATACTGGGAAGGAATGAGGGTGGGGATGGAATTCCCAGAGCAGCTGTGGCTGCTTCATCCCTGCTGGTGTCCAAGGCCAGGCTGGGGGGGCTTGGAGCACCCTGGGACTGGGGAAGGAGTCCCTGCTCAAGGCACGTGTGGGGTGGGATGGGCTCTGAGGTCCTTCCCACCCCAAAAACTCTGGGATCCCCCACCCCAGGAGCTGGCAGGGCACAGGGTGGGCACCTACTCTCAAAGGTGCTCTTGGGAGCTGGAGGTTTCCTGGTGGCCCAGTTGGTCCTGATCTGCCGGCCCCCGAGCCACTGGCCCCCCATCTGCTGGATGGCATTCTCGGCGTCCTGGAGGAGGAGAGGGAGAGAAAAACCCCCCTGACCCCACTGCTGGCACCCCTTCCTGGGGGACAGGGCCACAGGGGGACCCCAGTGCCCTCCTGAGTCACCCTGGAGTGTCCCAAGCCCTTCCTGGGGGACAGGGCCACAGGGGGACCCCAGTGCCCTCTTGAGTCACCCTGGAGTGTCCCAAGCCCTTCCTGGGGGACAGGGCCACAGGGGGACCCCACTTCCCTCCTGAGTCACCCTGGAGTGTCCCAAGCCCTTGCTGGGGAAATGAAAGGATCCCGCCCAATTATTGGATGAAGGGATCTTTCCCATTTATTGGAGAAAGAAATGAAGGAATCTTTCCCATTTTCTGAAGGAATTTAGTATCTTGGCCGTTTTTGGAACATGGAAAGGAAGGGATTTTACCCATTCATTGAAGGAGGAAGTGAAGAGCTATCTCCCATTTATTAAAGAAGGAAATGAAGGGGTTTTACCCATTTACTAAAGAGGGAAATTGAGGAAATTTACCCATTTACTGAAGAGGGAAATGAAGGGGTTTTACCCATTTATTCAGAGGGAAATGAAGGGATTTTACCCATTTATTAAGAGGGAAATGATGGGACTTTACCCATTTTTTGGGATGTAAACCAAGATCTCTCCCCCATTTATTGAAGAGGGAAACAAGTGATTTTACCCATTTATTAAGAGGGAAGTGAGGGGATTTTACCCATTTTTTGGGATGGAAACCAGGATCTCACCCATTTGTTGAAGAAGGAGACGAAGCCGTAGCCCTTGGACTTGCCCGTGGCCATGTCCTTGACCACCCGCGCGTCCCTGAAAGCACAGAGGGACCCAGCTCAGCCCCACAGCTCAGCCCCACCTCTCCCCTCTCCCCTCCACCAGGCTCAAAGCATCTCCTTCTCCACACACAGCTTGGCTAAAGGAGCAAAATTAAATTTACACCATGCAAATCAAGAGGTTCTTTAAGAAATGGCTGAGTTTTACAGCTGGCTGCTGCTGCCAGGCTGGGAAAGGCACAAAGCAGCTGTTCCACATCACTGCAGGAGCTTGGAACCATTCAAGTTTTAAAATCTTCTTTATTTGCCAACACATTCTACCTTGCTCATTGCAAATGTTCAATAGAAATGAATAGAAAATGAAAATAAAAATGAAAAAGTAGGAATTGAAAGGCATACGTCGGCTGTTAACTGAATTCCTTAATTCTCAGGTAAATTTGTTACCCCCTTTTTGGTCTGTGGGCAGCTGTAAATTTTAAGAGATTGATATTTCAGATTATTGAAATCACTGAATTATTTTGAATTGAATGGAAATTAAATTAATTATTACATTGAATATTAATTATTAAAGAAAATAAAACACATTTAAAGTCTTAAAACCACACATCAGGCATCATTATCAAACAGGAGTGACTGGAACTTTGAGGTACAGAAAAAAAAAAAAAACAGAAGGGAAAAAGGAAATAAAATTGATAAATACAACTACAACGTTTCTCCACTGTGAACTGTAGCCTTTGGTCTGCCATGGAATTCTGTCCACTCTTCAGAGGAGCCAAAAAAAAACCCCAGTTAGGAAATCATGGAAGTGAAATCAGAGCGGGCAGAGAAACCAGCAGAGCACTGAGAAGCCACAGTGGGCACAAAGTTCGTTAAGGCTCAGAGGTTTTAAGCTTAATTAACATTAATTGTGGCACCCACAGAGCCAGATGCCTGAGGAAAATCCCTCTCCAAAGCAGCAGGAATATTTGTTCTCTGTTAGATCCCCCTTCCTCTTTTTTTTTTTTTAGTTTTTCCAGAATTTGGGAAAAGCCACTTTGGGGAGCTGAGCTGGGTTTGCTGGAGAGGGAAAGGGGGAAGCCTCATCTCTACTGACTCTCAACTGAAAAATTGGGAATAAACACTCAAGAACAAGTGAAAATATGAGAAGAGTGAGCAAAAAAAGGATAAACAGGGATTCAAACCAGCCAGAGGCCAAGAATTAACCAAATTCTCTCCCCAGTGACCCTCAGCTGCACTCAGGGGATGCTCGAAGCAAAGATCACATTGATAGAACTTTCTAAACCTTCTAATACAAGGAAATCAAGCTGGCACAAAAAGAGGAATAAACTGGAACTCCTGAGAGATAAAAAAAAACCCAAACAACAAAAACCAAACTTACTTCAATTAAATGCTTCACTACCCAACACTCCAAAGCCTTCTATGTTCTTACATCACCACCAAGAAACTCCAGTGTCCAGTACAGACAAGGCTACAAGGAAAATTGATGGTTTATGTTTGGAGCATGGATTGGAGGGACTGCTCCTCGCTCTGCTCACGCTGCAGGGTGGCAGTGGGACAGGCTGGCAGGGCCACATCACTGGGAATGTCTGCCTGGATCAGCTCAGCTCCCCGGCCCAAAAATGTGTGGGACAAGGTGGTGCTGCCCCAAGGTGCTCAAAAAAAACCCTCATTTTGAGGGAAATGGGAATGAATTCCACAAAAAGCAGGGTTAGCCCCAAAAATCCAGAGTGCCCAGGGAAATGTACAGCCCAGGAGCAGGGTCTGGGTTTTCCACAGACCAGGTGGGATAAAGGATGTGGCTGTGTGAGAAGAACTGTGACACTGCCACAGTGTCACTGAGTGAACACAAAGGTGCCTCCACTCAGGAGAGAGACCTTGATCTGCCCCCCAAAAAAAAGGACTTACGAGATTCTTCCAAAGGGAGCAAAGGCTGCTTTGATGTCTTCAGTTGTGATCTCAGGGCTGAGGTCTCCGACAAAGACGTGGAAATGATCTTTGGGGAAAAAGAGAAAGGATTCAGTGGTTGAAGATGCCTCTGAGCAAAGCAGAGGGGAAAAAAAACTCTTCTTAAAAAACCAGTTATCAAAACTCCAGCTGTTATTCAAAATACATTATTATAAAGCACAAAAAAATGTATTAAATGCCACAGAAATCCACATTGGATGCTACAGGAAGAGCAGAATTCCTGCTGCTCCTGACAGCCCCTGTGCTTGGCAGCGTCACGAGGCAGCGATTTGAAGGACACATGTTTGTATCTTCGATTTTACAAACTGCTTTTAAGGCCTGCCAGCACTTAGTGCACAAATCTGAGACTTATTTACACCTCATGTGCCCAGTGTGAAGGAAAATCTCTCTCTCCCTGTGCCAGCATGAGGACGGAATCAGCAGTGGTGATGTGGAATCCTGGAATGGTTTGGGTGGGAAGGGATTGAAACCCATCCAGTGCCACCCCTGCCAGCACCCCGGGGTGCTCCAACCCCAGCTGGGACACTGCCAGGGATGGGGCAGCCCCAGTGAAGGAGGACTGAGGGTTCAGGATGGAAAGGGGGATCCCTTCCTGGTGAGAAACAGGCACAAAAGGAGTTTTCCTGAGGAGTTTTCCACCTCAGTGCAACAGGGTGGGACACAGACCGAGCTGTGCCACAGCGGGCACCAAACTCTCTCAGGCACTGATGGGGTTTAGCCCCACCAGCCTAAAAATTCCAAGGATTTCCTCACAGAAATTGCTGGGAGTGATGGAATCCCTTCTGGAAGGAACCTGGATGCTCCTTGAGGGAGATGCTCAATGTGCTCCAAAAATAAAGAATGAGGCATTTTGGGTTTTAATTCACAACTGCCCAGGTAGCAAAAAGTCACAGATTTGCATCAAATCCCTTCCTGATGCTACAGGGAAATGGAAGGGAATTTTATGGAATTTTTCCATGAAAATTCAATGGAAAACAAACAAAAACCCCAAACTTAGCTTCAGGGAACACTTGGAGATCCACCATTTCACATTTAAGATAAAATTACCTTGTGAATGCTGTGTGATGGCAAAGATCAGGTTTGCCCTGAAGTTTAATTAACAAACACAATAAATAATTAGGATTCCAATGCAAACCATTCCCACAGAGCTTTGTGTGGTGCATTTCTGTTGCAGAACTTGCACAGGTGACACTTACTGCTGGTGTCTTTCTTCTGGCTGCTGGGGGTGGTGGCCCAGTTCACTTTGACCTCCTGCAAATGGGAATCAAACATCAGATTTGGCAAATCCTAAAAAAGCTCAGACATCTCCATGCTCAAATCTGACCCTACAGGGGTGCAAGGCTGGGGTTAAAACTTGACTTTTAAGACATTTTTCTAGGGAGAAGGTTTGTTGTTCAATGAACAGGGGTAGAGCTGCCCTGCTGGAGAAGGGAAGACTCCAGGGAGAGCTCCTGGCAGAACCTAAAGAGGATCCAGGAGAGCTGGAGAGGGACTGGGGACAGGGGATGGAGGGACAGGACACAGAGAATGGCTCCCAAATGTCTCAAGAGTGATTGTGAAGAGGATGAGGACTCTGAGCAGTGGTGCACAGTGACAGGGTAATGGACTGAAAAATGGGATGTTCCACCTGAATATGAGGAAAAGAAGGAAAATAATGAGGGAAAATATGAAGGAAAACTTTCCTTTGAGGCCTGGAACAGGCTGTGGTAGCTCCTTCTCAGCAGACATCAACACCCTGCTGGGACACACCCCTGTGCACCCTGCTCTGGATGAGCTTTGGCTCGGGATCATCTCCAGAGGGGCCTCCCAACCCAACTGCACTGGAATTCCATGTTTTTCCCCCCAGCTCCACATCCTCAGCTCCATGTTCTTCCCAATGCTGTGAGATCCTCCTACCAACACCCTGAACTTCTCCCAACACCCTGAACTTCTCCAAACATTCTGAACTTCTCCAAACACTCTGAACTTCTCCAAACATTCTGAACTTCTCCCAACACTCTAAACTCCTCCCAAGACCATTAATTCCTTCTCCCAACACTCTGAACTTCTCCGTACAACACTGAATTTCTCCTCCCAACACCCTGACGGCTCTGGCACAGCTGGCTCTGGCACGGCTGGCTCTGCCCTGGCACACTCACGGCGGGCACGGCAGCTTACCTTACCCATTATCTTCCTGCCGTTCATGGCAGCCAGCGCCGCGGCCGCGTGCCGGTGCTCGGAGAACTCCACGAAGCAGTAGGGGTCGTTGCCAGCTGTCTGAGACAGGGAGCGAGCCGGGCTTAGGGCACAGCTGGGACTGGGGCAAAGCTGAGACTAGGGGCACAAAGCTGGGACTGGGACAAAGCTGGGACTGGGGGCATAAAGCTGGGCTTAGGGCACAGCCGGCACTGGGGCACAGCTGGGACTGGGGCAAAGCTGAGACTAGGGGCACAAAGCTGGGACTGGGGGCACAAAGCCGGGCTTAGGGCACAGCCGGCACTGGGGCACAGCTGGGACTGGGGGCAAAGCCAGGCTTAGGGCACAGCTGGGACTGGGGCAAAGCTGAGACTGGGGGCAAAGCTGGGCTTAGGGCACAGCCAAGACTGGGGGCACAAAGCTGGGACTGGGGCAAAGCCGAGACTGGGCAAAGCTGGGACTGGGGACACAAACCCGGGACTAGAGACACAAACCCGGGACTGGGGACATAAACCTGGGATTGGGGACACAAACCTGGGATTAGGGACAGAAATCTGGGACTAGGGACACAAATCCAGGATTAGAGGCACAAACCCAGGATTAGAGACACAAATCTGGGCTCTGGCCACTCTGCTCAGCCTCTGACTGCCCCATGTGGACAGGTTTTCTGCCCCTACAGGGACTAACAAAGCTTCCAATTCTCCTTTAGAAAGGTAAAACGAATGAAACAAATTTTCCAAACCTTGTTTGCAATCTGCTCCTGATTTAATGAGCTCATTGTCCCCCTCCACACCCACCCATGTTTAAATTCAGCACCAGGCCCATACAGAAATGATGGCAAACCCATGGGAGTGTGGTGCAGGTTTATTGAAGGAGCTGGGCCGTTCCCAGGGGAATTCCCAGAGGCAGGAGCAGAGCCTGGAGCCTGCAGCTCCCAGGAGGAGCAGGGGAATGGGAGCGTTCGGGCTCTTACATCCATGATCATCTTGCAGTTCTTGCAGGGGCCGATCTGGCTGAAGAGCTGGAGGATCAGAGCCTCGGTCACGTCCCTGGAGAGGTTCCCCACGTAGCTGAGGGTCAAACACAGGTATGGACACAGATGTTGGACACGCTGGAACGTGGAAAGGGAGTTGGGACCAGGGATAAAGGGATAGGAAAAGGGGGAATGGCTTCCCACTGGCGAAGGGCTGGGTGAGATGGGATAATGGATGGAATTAGGGGGAGGAAGGGCTGGGATGGAACCACCAGAGGAGCTCCTGGATCCCTGGGAATGTCCAAGGCCAGGCTGGAGCCACCTGGTCTATGGAAATTGTGGGGACCCACGGTGGGACTGGATGGGCTTTGAGGTCCCTCAGACCCAAACCATTCCACGGTTCCATGTGGAGATCTAGGTGGGATTTTGGGAAGAAATATTGGGTGAGGTGCTGGGATGGAATTCCCAGAGCAGCTGGGATCCCTGGAAGTGTCCAAGGCCAGGCTGGACAGGGCTTGGAGCAACCTGGGAGACTGGGAGACGTCCTTGCCACGGCAGGGGTGGCACTGGATGGATTTCATGTCCCTTCCCACCCAAACCATTCCAGGATTCCATGACTCCATGAACTTGACTTTCCAAACTGATTTCCCAGTACAGAAACTCCAATTCCCACATTCCTACACTGATTTCCCAGTAGAGAAATTCCAGTTCCCACATTCTACACTGATTTCCCAATACAGAAATTCCAGCTCCCACATTCCTATACTGATTTCCCAGTACAGAACTCCAGCAGCCAGGTGACCCTGCCAGGAGAGCTCAGTCCTGGCTCTTCCTGCATCTCTCCCACCCCTCTTTCCTGCTAATTGTACCAGAATCCAATTAACGAGTCAGATGATGACTCTGCAGATGAAGGGTTGCGTTATCCAAGTTCATCTTGAGAAGCCAGACCCAAGTGCTGCCAGCACCTGCGCGTGCTTCAGACCACAAAATAATTTAATTTAAGACACGTATCCCACGTGCATCCATGAAAAACACAAACAACAGGACTCTGTCACCTCCAAGGCTGCCTCCTGACTGCCTGCAGATCCATCACCAGCTGCTGAAATGTGGCTTTCAAGGAAGGGAACAGCCCGTGGGAGAAGGAGCTGCCTCTCCAGGAACTTACTGACACAAGGAAAAACAGCTCCTAAGGCAACACAGGGCTCTGCACCCCCTCACTGACATGGGTGAGGTGGAAAAGGCAAAACCAAGGAGTTACTTCCAGGAGTGGCTGCAAGCTGCTCCAGAAAAACAACTGCAATGGGTTAAGGAAGGAAAAAACAGGGTGCAGAGAGCCCCAAAATCCACACCTGGGGGGGAATTCTGGTGTAGAAATCCCTGTGTGAGCATGGATTTAACACCCACTAAAGATCACCCTAAGCTGCACTTTCTGCCTGTGGTTGCTCCTCACTGACATGGGTGAGGTGGAAAAAAACGAAAAACAAGGAGTTACTTCCAGGAACAACTGGGAAGGATAAAACCGGGTGAAGAGAGTTTTGGGGGCCACACAGCTCAGATAGCTCCAAAATCCACACCCAGGGAAGATTTCTGGAGCAGAAATCCTACAGAAACCTCCATGTGAGCATGGATTGAGCATCCACTCACATGAGCTGCACTTTCTGCTCTTTCTAAAGAGCAGGGAATTGTCACCCGACCTGGTGACAATTCCCTATGTGACCCCAAAAAGTCACAGGGAGAGAGTCAGAGGAATCCCAGCCTGGAAGTTGCTCAGCTCTGAGCTGTGTTTTAAGGCAGGACTCAGTGATCCTGCAGGTGTTTTGCTCAGTGCTGCCCTGTCCTTGCCACCAGCTGCACGTGCTCCAGGACAGGGACCTGCATTCCTTGGCACACCTCGAGGCCACCACAGGACCCGTGGGATGGGGGAAAACATCTTCTCAAATAAACACACCAACGCTGTGTGTTAGCAAAGGCCAAGAATAGCTCCCAAAATGTGGGAAAACACCGGGATTGGGGAAGCAGAGAGTGGTCAGTGCTCGGGACAGCTGGGGTGAGGCACGTCGGGGTCTTGTCAAGCTGTGGTCACTCAGCCAAGGTGTTTCTCAAGCCCTGGGGAGTGGCAGCAGTCCAAGGGGCAACATTCCCTCACCCTGGAATGATTCCCTCTCTCCCTCCTGCCTTTCCTGCTGCACTGCAGAACAAGGCTGCTACAAGGTGGGAGCCTGATTTCCCTGATCCAAACAAGGGAAAGCTACTCCAGGTAACACCTGCCTGGGAGAAGGAGGGAAACACAGCCCAGGTGTGCACAGGAGCTGTGTGAAACTGTCAGGTTTTGCAGCACTTTTTGCTGAAATCCAACCCAAACCTCTCCTGACGTGGCTTCCTAATTCACAACAGGTTCAGAGTGCTTTGAACACTGGGACAAGCACTGGACTGATGGGCACTGCCTGGTCTTTGCCACGGAGCTGCTGAGCAGGGCAGTGGGGCTCCAGCTGTGTGCCCAGGCAGCCCCCACAGCCCTCAGGACAAAAATCCAACCTACATGGACAATACAGAATGGCAGGATCCTCACCACAGGATGGTTTGGGGTGGAAGGGACACGAATCATGCCCATTCAATGCCCTGCCATGGGCTGGGATGGATGAGGGAGGGGGCACACACACCTTCCAAGCCCCTTTCCCTCCAGATGTGAGTGTGCAGGGAGGAGGGGACACCTTCCACGCTGCCTTCCCTCCAGATGTGACCAGGGATGGACTGAGGAGAGGGGCACAGACACCTTCCAGAGCTCCTTTCCCTCCAGATGTGAACAGGGATGGACAGGGGAGGGGGCACACACTTTCCAGACCCCCTTTCTATCCAGGAGAAAGGGGGACACACCTTCCAGAGCTCCTTTCCCTCCAGATGTGACCAGGGATGGACAGGAGAGGGGCACAGACACCTTCCAGAGCTCCTTTCCCTCCAGATGTGACCAGGGATGGACTGGGGAGTGGCACACACTTTCCAGACCACTTTTCCCTCCAGATGTGACCACGGATGGACTGGGAAGAGGGGCACACACCTTGCAGACCCCTTTTCTCTCCGGATGTGACTCGGGACGTAGCGGGGAAGGGACACACGGCTTGCACACAGCCCTGTCCCTCCAGACGTCAGCTGGAGGCGCAGGGGAACGCCCGGAGCGGAGGGCAGCGGCGGTGCCCAGCACTGGGCACGGGCAAAGGGCAGGAATACCGCGGGAGCCGGCTACCCCTCAGCCCCCGGGGCGGCTGCGAGTCCGCGGCGGAGCCCTGAGGGGCCCCATCCGTGAGGCGACCCCCCGGGCCGCCCCTCCCCGCGGAGCCGGGAACAATAGGCGGTCTCGCCCCCTCCCCACTCACAGGGTCTTGGGCATTTCATCCTCCATGGCTCCGCCGCCGCCCAGCCCCGGCTCTTCCCGCCCGCCGGGGCGGCCCCGTGAGCCCTGGGCAGCCCGGGCAGCCCGAGCGGCGCCGGCCCCGCCGCCGGACGGTCCCGCGGCGGCTCCTCGCAAGATGGCGGCGGGCGGGCTGAGGGCTGAGGGGACGGGGAGGGGAGGCGGGAACGCGCGTGCGCGGGGAGAGCGCGGGAACGGCGCGGGAGCGCTCCGCGCGTGCGCGGCCCTGAGGGGGCAAGGAGATTTAAAATTGGCAGATTGAAAATTGATTTAAAATTGAACAATTGAAAATTGATTTAAAATAAAAAACGTTCGAAATAAAGGGGTGAGGAATGGAGGGGTTGAAAAGAAATGGCTTTAAAAAATTGTGAAAAATGCCCTATTTTATGATTGGCTTTTCAATGTTACAGTGAATATTATATGTGTGATGTTAGAAAGTTACCTGATTCTTTTAGGTAGTGTGTTAAATACAGTTTTAAGTTACAACATAATGTTAAAATAGAAATTCTGTGATATAGGATTTGTTACAAGCTCAAGGGAGAAGATGAAATAATGAAGAAACTCTTCACACAGAGATGACAGCAAAAGGGGCCCATAAAAAGTTACAGAAAAAAAAAAACTTTCTTCCACCTTCTCTCCGTCTTTTTGGAACCAGTAAGATTAAGGAGAAGAAGTTGACAAAACCCAGAGAAGTTCTTAATTTGCAAGGAATTTATATATTCATGAATATATGAATATGCAACAGAATATTGCTTTTAAGGTTATTCCTTTGCTCGCGAGTGATGCTTTTTGTGACTTAGTGTCTGGGAGCATCCGGACGTCCGTAATTCTTTGCTTTTTATTGTCTTGTAATTGTCCTAACTCTAAACTTTATTACTCTAATTGTATTACTATTTTTATAATAATTTTATTATTATTAAACTTTTTATTAAACAAAGGAATAACCTTACAAGCAACAGCCTGTTGCATATTCATATATTCATGAATATATAAATTCCTTGCAAATTAAGAACTTCTCTGGGTTTTGTCAACTTCTTCTCCTTAATCTTACTGGTTCCAAAAAGACGGAGAGAAGGTGGAAGAAAGTTTTTTTATTCTGATGAGGAGGCTGTAAATTTTTATGGGCCCCCTTCGCTGCCATCTCTGTGTGAAGAGTTTCTTGATTATCTCATCTTCCTGCTTGAGCTTGTAACAAATCATATATAAAAGAATTTCTATTTTAACACAGAATTTCTATTTTAACATTATGTAACCTAAAACTACATTTAACACACTCCTTAAGAGAATTAATGCAGCATAACTTTCTAACATCACACATATAATATTCATTGTAGCAATGAAAAGCCAATCATAAAATATGCATTTTTCACAACATTATGTTGTAACCTAAAGCTGTATTTAGCACACTGCTTAAGAGAATTAATGCAGCATAACTTTGTAACACCACACATATAATATTCATTGTAGCAATGAAAAGCCAATAATAAAATATGCATTTTTCACAAAATAAAGGAAAGTAGTTAGGAATCAATGAAATAAAGAATTCTAAGTGACGAAAAAAAGGATTTTAAGTGACGCAAAAGCGTTGTGCGCCGCCCGGGAATCGAACCCGGGTCGCAAGAATGGGAATCTTGCATGATACCACTACACCAGCGGCGCGGTGGTGAACGGCACCTCCCCGCGTCCCTCATGGTCCCGCGCCCGCAGCCGCCCCGGCCGCGCTCCCGGCCCGCCCATCGCCCTCTGCCCTTCGCCGCCGCCATGCCGGGCCTCTGCCGGCTCCTGCCGCTGCTGGCCGCGCTCTGCCCGCCCGCCCTCAGCCTCCGCCATGGCCCCTCCAGGATCGGTGCGAGCCGGGACACTGATGGGCTCAGGGGAGGCGGCTGTGGGAGGGACGGGGAATCTGCCGGGGGAGCTGTTCGGGGCAGCCGGCGGAGGCCGCCTCAGGGGTGTCCCGGGAAGGAATGGGGGAATCGGTGAGGGCCGGGGGTGCCACTGGCATCCCTTGAGTCCTCGAGGGGATCCTTGAGGAAGGTGTGAGGGGAGGATCCTTTAAGGGCCATTGAGGGGATGTGACATGGGAGGCCCCTGAGGGGATCTGTGTGGGACAGGGAGTAATGGAGGGTGTCCCTTGAGGGATCTGAAGTGGGGGGTCCATGAGGGATCTGTGAGGGCCAGGGGGTGCCACTGGGATCCTCGAGGATGAGGGAGGATCCTTTAAAGGCCATTGAGGGCATGTGATATGGGAGACCACTGAGGGGATCTGTGTGGGACAAGGAGTAATGGGTCCCTTGAGGGATCTGAGGTGGGGGGAGCCATGAGGGACCTGCGAGGGTCAGGGGTGTGTGTGGGGGATCCTTTGAGGGGATCTGTGAGGAAGGTGCAATGGGGGATCTTCCTGAAGGTTGGGGGGCCGTGAGGGGATCTGTGAGGGGCAGGGGATATGAGGGGGGTTCCATTGAGGGGATCTGTGATGGATCTGTGAGGGGTTCTGTTGGGGAGATCTGTGGTGCAGAGGGTCTGTGAGGAATCTGTGGGGGGTTCTGTCCTGCAGAGGGTCTGTGAGGGATCTGTGAGGAGTTCCCTTGAGGGGATTGGGGTGAGGGGTCTGTGAAGGATCTGTGAGGGATTCCATTGAGGAAATCTGTCTTGCAGAGGGTCCATGAAGGATCTGTGAGGGGTTCCATTGAGGGGATCTGTGTGCAGGGGTCTGTGAGGGATCTGTGGGGGGTTCTATTGGGGGGATCTGTCCTGCAGAGGGTCTGTGAGGGATCTGTGGGGAGTTCCCTTGAGAGGATTGGGGTGAGGGGTCTGTGAAGGATCTGTGAGGGATTCCATTGAGGAAATCTGTCCTGCAGAGGGTCCATGAAGGATCTGTGGGGGGTTCCACTGAGGGGATCTGTGGGGCAGGGGGTCCGTGAGGGATGTTTGAGGGGGTGTGTGAAGTGGTGGCTCGTAGGGGTGTGAAGGTGACCGAGCCCCTTCTCCCAGCCGTGGTGGGCGGCGGGATCGGCGGCTCGGCCGCCGCGTATTTCCTGCGGCAGAAGTTCGGCCGCGGCGTGCAGCTGCACGTGCTGGAGAAGGCAGCGGTGGGCGGCCGGCTGGACACGCTGGACGTGGAGGGTTCCGCCTACGAGGCAGGGGGGTCCGTGATCCACCCCCTCAACCTGCACATGAAGCATTTTGTCAAGGAGCTGGGTGAGCACTGACCCCACAACCGTGGTGTTTCCCAAAATTGTCCCTCAGACCCAAAATTATCCCTCTGGGGTGCTCTTGGTCCCAATCTGCTGGGGAACTTCCCTCAAAAGAACAAGGCTTGCTAGCCCTCATATCCTTCCCCAGTAGCAGCCCATCTCCTTCCCAAATAGCCTGCCCTTCTTTTCCCAATATTCCCCCCATGTCCCTCCCCAACAGTTCCTCTTCTTTTCCCAATATCCCCCCAAACACTTCCCTAGTAATCACCTTTCTCCAATATCCCTCCCCACAGGCCACTTTCCTTCTCAAACCGCCCCCCATCACCTCCCCCATGCCCCCTGTGGTACCCCAGCCCCACTCCAGGCAAAGAAAACCCACATTGCAACGGGAATGGTCTCACCCCTCCCCAAGGTGACCCAGTTACGGCATCATAAAGGTCCAAAAATCACCTCCAGTCACTCCCTGGCCCATGATCAAGGGCTAATTCCCTTTCCACACTTTGGGATCATAAAGGCATCTTATGGCATCATAAAGGGCCAAAAATCACTTCCAATCACTCCCTGGCCCGTGATCAAGGGCTAATTCCCCTTTCCACACTTTGGGAACTCCAGTCTTCAATCACTCACCTTAGCAGCACAAAGCCAGGTTCTCTCAGGAAGTTCAAATTAAGGTGGAATAGCTCTACCTTTCACTAAATTCCCTTTTTCTGTCCTTTTCCTAAAGGCCTCTCGGTCGCCTCACCCCAGGGCAGCCTCGCGGGCGTTTACAACGGGGAGGAATTTGTGTTTGAGGAGAGCAGCTGGTCCTTCATCAACCTCCTCAAACTGCTCTGGCACTACGGCCTCAACCCCCTGCGCATGTCCATGTGGGTGGAGGACATCCTGGACAAGTTCATGAGGTGGGATGGGGTCCTGAGGGGGAAAAACTGGGAGAGGACCTTAAAAACACCTCACTGCTCCAAGCTCCATCCAGCCTGGCCTTGGACACTTCAGGGATGGGGCAGCCACAGCTTCTCAGGGAAAATGTGCCAGGGCCTCACCACTGTGCTAAAAACGCCCAATATGGAACCTAAACCTGCCCTCTTTGTGCTGTGCCTCCAGGCCCTTGTCCTGCAGCTCCCACAAAGCCACCCCACGAGATCCCCCGCAGCTGCCAGGGCCACAGAGCTCATTAACAGAGACCATTTTTTGTCTGCAATGAAAGGATCTACCGGTACCAGATGCACGACTACGCCTTCAGCAGCAACGAGCGCCTGCTGCACGCCCTGGGAGGCGACGACTTCGCGCGCCTGCTCAACCAGAGCATCGACGAGGCCATGCAGAAAGCAGGATTCTCCCAAAAATTCATCAACCAGGTGGTTTGTCCGGCCATGAGGGTGAATTACGGCCAAGGGGTCGCCATCAATGGCTTTGTAGGTGAGTCCACTTACCACCCTGCTCCCAGTGCTCCCAGTGCCCTCACCACTGGATTGGAAGAGAATAGAGATGGTTCTGTGGGCAACCTTGTCCCTGATGAGTTGCAGCTCTGCTAATTACCAAAGAGTGGAAGCAGCCTTGCCCTCGATAGGTCATGGCTCTGGCCAGTAAGGATGTGTGTTTTAAAAGAGTGGGTTGGGTGGTCGTGAGAAAGAGGAAGAAAGAGGAAGGAGAAGGGGAGAAGGAGAGAAGGAGTCAGTGTTGCATGGTGCTGCCCATTTATAGAGAAAAGATACAAAAATTTACTGTAAAGGATAATAAAGGGCTGGTGCCAGCATCTTTGGCATCAGTTGTTTGAGCCCACTGTCAATGGGGAAAGGTTTTTAAGTTTTGTTGAAGGATAATAAAGGGCTGATGCCACCATCTTTGGTGTCAGTCATTTGAGTCCACCATCAATGGAGAAAGGTTTGGAAGTTCACTGTAAAGGATAATAAAGGGCTGAAGCTTGCCACATCTTTGGCCTCAGTTCTTTTGAATCTACCATCAATGGGGAAAGTAATTTGAATCCACTGACAATTGGTGCCCCGTGTGAGGAGTGAACACCGACGAACTCTGAGAAAGCAAACACTGACAAAAGCTAACACCGACATCTGGGTGTTGGGTTCCTGCTCCCGGGGCTCCAAGCTCTGTGTCCCAAAGGGATGCTTGTATCCCTTACTTTTGCAGTTGTTTTTTCCAGTGTTTCCCTGCTCTGACAGTGGTGGTTTCCTTGCAGGTGCTGTGTCCCTGGCCGGGGTGCAGTCAGGCCTTTGGTCTGTGAAAGGGGGGAACAAACTCGTGTGCTCTGGGCTCATCTACTCCTCCAAGGCCGAGGTTATCCCAGGAACAGTTGTGTCCATAGAGCCAAAAACCAGATCCAAGCGTGGTGGTGAGTGGGGTTGGAATTCCCTTCAGAGGGGAGGGGATGGTGACACTGGAGAGTGACCTTGGCTCCTTGGGACTTCAAAATGAAAATTCCTCCCTGGGAGGGCGGAGAGGAGCTGGGATGGAATTCCCAGAGGAGCTGTGGCTGCCCCTGGATCTCTGGAAATGTCCAAGGCCAAGCTGGATGGAGCTTGGGGCAAGCTGGAATAGAGGAAGGTGTCCCTGCTGTGGAACTGGATGGGCTTTAGGATCCCTTCCAATCCAACCCATTGCACGATTCCATGAAAACAGAGCTCAAATCCCAGCAGTACAAACTGATAAACCCAAATGTGGTGGCATTTTGAAATGGCAGGGACAGTCAGATTCCCTCCCAGGATAACCGAGCTGATCTCTGCAGGGGACCCGGTGAAGCTCTATGAGGTCACCTACAACACGTCCTCGGGGCTGACAGGGGACACCTACGACATCGTCGTCATTGCCGCTCCGCTTGGTCGCAAGATGGCCAACATCACCTTCCGGAACTTCGACCCTCCCATCCCGGAATTCCGGAATCCCTACCACCAGACCGTCACCACCTTGGTGCACGGGCGCTTGAACACCTCCTTCTTTGGCTACCGCGACCCCCAGGCTTTTCACTTTGGGGCCATTTTCACCACGGACAACCCCAAGCTGTTCATCAACAGCCTGGGTGTGGTGTCCCCCGTTGGGGACACGGGCACGGGCGGGAAGCTGCCGTTGCCGTCGGCTGTCTGGAAGGTGTTCTCCAAGGAAGAGCTCACCAAGGAGCAGCTCAGTTTGCTCTTCTCCTCGTACGACTCGGTGAAGGTGAAGCCATGGTTGGCGTATCCCCAGTACAGCGCTCCCGAGAAGCTTCCTCCCATCGTCCTGCACGAGCAGCTCTACTACCTGAACGGGCTGGAGCACGCCGCCAGCGCCATGGAGATGAGCGCCATCGCCGCCCGCAACGCCGCCCTGCTCGCCTTCCACCGCTGGCACGGCCACAGCGCCAGCGTCGACCAGGAGGACCTGCACGAGAAGCTCAAAACAGAGCTCTGACACGACCCCCACGGCTTAATTAACACTAATGAACTCTGTGCTTCGCACTCCAAGGAGGTGTTTCGTAGGATCATTGGATCCTTACAGTTGGAAGATCTTCAAGATCATGACCTGCAAAATCTTCCAGAAACATCAAGACCATCAAGATGCCCTGAGTAACTCTAACGAACTCCATACTTCGCCCCTCCAAAGAGGTGTTTCATGGGATCCTTTAGGTTGGAAGACCTTCAAGATGCTGTAGTTAACTCTAATGAACTCCATACTTCACCCCTCCAAGGAGGTGTTTTGTAGGATCATGGGATCCTTAAGATACAAGATCTTCAAGCCCATTAAGATGCTGTAATAAACTCTAATGAACTCCATACTTTGCCCCTCCAAGGAAGTCTTTCATAGGATCATGGGATCCTTAAGGTTGGAAGAGCTTCAAGAACTTCAAGGCCATCAAGACCAGCAAAGCCCTCAAGACCTTCAAGATCATCAAGACCCTCAAGGTCATCAAGAACTTCCAAGTCCAACCATCAGCCCAACCACGTTCACCATAAACGACGTCCTCAAGTGCCACATCCATGCGTTGTTTGGACACTTCCAGGGATGGCGACTCTGCCACAACCTAGGCTGGACAACCCTTCCTGCCATGACAAAATTCTTCCCAATATCTCATCCTGATGTCCCCTGGTGCCACCTGGAAGCTGTTTGGCCAGCTCTAGAGGGAGCAGGAGCAGTGAAGAGTTCCCAAGTAAGCTGAGACGTTTTCCTCACACAAATCCATGAGTTTTCCTCAGTTTTCCTTGATTTAGCCCTGTCTGAGGTAGGGAATTCATTAAAAGTGCCATATTGACCCCCAAAGTGCCCTCCAGCTGGGAATATTGACTCCCTGGCTGTCCATCCCTCTGCCCCAACTTTTCCCAAGGCTCTGCCAAGGAATTATTCCTCAAGGTGGGAACTGGGGGAAAATAAGTGGCAAAGAGGGAGAACCACCAACATCCACGGCCGTGTTCAGGTACGAAGTTAATAAAGAATTTAATAACCCAAGTGTGTTTTAAGTAAAAAAACCACCAGAAATAGTATAAATTGAACACCCACTTCCATAAATAAAAGTTGTACCAGGATCGGGAACAGAATTACCACCGAACTGCCAAAAAATGGTGCGACAAAGGCTTGATTTAGGTCAACCATTACAAAATTGATTTAATAACACAATCAAAATAATTGTACACTCGTGGGCGGCATTTTGGACGAGGGAACGGAAGCAGTGGGTGAGGACTTGGGGTTTTCCAGGGGTTTATACTCGTTCCAAAGCTTCCAGCATGATGATGCTGTTCCCTCGGATCACCTGGAAGGGGCAAGGTGAGAGCTGTTACCTAAGGGTTCCTTCCTTCCAGTTTGTTTTCCCAAAAATCCCAGAAAATTTGGCTGGAATTTCCTCCTCACAAAAGCCAAAATAGACTGATTTTAACCCGAAATCCTCAAGGATCACAGGATACCAGAATCCTTGAGAGTGGAAAAGACCTCCCAGTGCTCCAACTGCACTCACCACCCTGCTCCCAGTACTCCCAGTGCTCTCACCACCCTGTCCCAGTGCCCCCAGTGTTCCCTGTGCCCTCACCACCCTATGCCCAGTATGCCCAGTCGCACACACCACCCTCCTCCCAGTACTCCCAGTGCCCTCACCACCCCACTCCCAGTGCTCCCAGTGACCTCACCACCCTGTCCCAGTACTCCCAGTGCCTCACCACCCTGCTTCCAGTATTCCCAGTACCCTCACCACCCGACTCCCAATGCTCCCAGTGCCCTCACCACCCTGTCCCAGTACTCCCAGTGCTCTCACCACCCTGCTCCCAGTACTCCCAGTGCCCTCACCACCCCACTCCCAGTGCTCCCAGTGCCCTCACTGCCCTGCTCCCAGTACTACCAGTACCCTCACCACCCCACTCCCAGTGCTCTCACCACCCCGCTCCCAGTGCCTCACCACCATGCCGATGTTGTTCTGCTGCCCGCCCGCCGCCATCTCCACGCACTCATCGATGACGAGGTTCATGAAGGGGTCGAAGCCGCGCAGGATGCCCTGCACGTGCCGCCCGCCGTTCAGCTTCACTGCGGGGAGCGGGGCCTGAGCGCGGGCACCCCACAACGGGGCCGTGCACCCCCCAAAACCAGCGGGGGGAATGGGAACGACTGAGCACAACCCGTTAATGGGACAGGGGGAACAGAGCGAATTTTCAACCCGTGTTCTAGTTAATTAATGAATTATTAATGAATGAATTAGAATTTTAATTCATGCGCTCTAAGGTCGGAAATCAGCAGCCGGGACCTCTTATCTGGGCTCTGTGAGGGGTGGGCGGGGTCCCCAAAAACCGGGTGGGGGGCTCAGGAGACTCCCACAGCGGGGCCACGAGAGGGAAACGGGGCTGTGGAGGGTCCCCAAAACCGGGCATTGTTGGGGGGTGGGTCCCCAACAG